AATTAAAGTATGTTTATATTTTGCACTGCTTGATAAATTGTAGTCGTTGTGGAATGCAATGACTTTCTGTATGGGGGTCTTTCTTGGTGAACTAAAGAGCAGATGAGGTTGGAGGATAATATTCACCAGTCAAATGTTTTCCTTACTGATGTCATATTACTCCTCCACAGACCGACAATATGACATTTTAGTCATCCAGCTCACATGGAGCAGATTGTAAATGTTGAATACGTACAGACCTAACATTTAGTGTCTCGGTTCAGACCTTGTTTCTTCCCTGAATGAAACATCAATCCCAACCCTGCAGGGAGTCTGGAGCGTCAATACTAACCAACCCCCCAAACAGAGAAGCCAACAGGTGGATGCTGGGGTGGGGGGTGGGTGTTTTGAAGTGCTGTCACTAGCAATGGTATCAGCGGCAGCAAGCACTGCGTGGAAAGAATGAGCAGAGCACTGACAGCTTGTACCACCGAGATTAAAAGGGTGCGTATAGATAGTCGCATGTGTGCTGTATTGAGGGGAGTGTGCCATATGAGCACGGCAGACTGGAGCGACTGCCTGAATGGGTTTGCAGGTTTTACCTCATTAGCAACACCTATATTTCTTTCACTGTGACAAGATGTCTGCAGTGAAAAGGGCCCGTTAATGAAGTCAAATCAACAGGAGGACATCATTTGCCTTCTATATACACAATGTGACAGTCAAAGTGTTGAAAGATTTTTCGCGGTGGAACGACTTTATTCTCGTCAAATTTGATAAGTATGTTATCAATCCCTTGAATGAATCTATCAGCTTCATGAAACATTAAAATGAATCATCCTAAATTCTATAGCACACTTTCTCCTTTCAAAATGCTATAACATATGCACCACACAAACATTATTTTTTCAGTGCTTTCAATCATTATATACAGTATGAGCGTGTTCAAATGATGGAGCTCTGAGGAATTTGGAATGGCCATTTAAGTAAAATGTGTGTTGGACTCAGTGGTAACAGCTGAATATATATATTATTCAGAGTCAACCCACTGGTGAAGGTTCTGGACCAAATCCCAAATTCTTCTCCCACAATCGATGCCAGCCTCCTCCCTTCGCTCCTTAATGATGCCTTGACTGGAAACAGCAGGACAGTCCTCATCTACTGCATTAACCCTCAAGGTTTGTGTTCCTCTGGGCCCCAACTATAGGATACACAAAAACTAATTTGAGTGTTGAATTTATGTAAAAGTGACTCTCCCCCTTACAGGTCTGATAGATGATGAAACACCTTCTGCTTTAGATTTGGCCCAGAGAGTGAGAGGCCTGGTAACTAAGGCCACTGTTGGCTGCTGGAGTCCAAAGGCAGCTGAGCAAAAGATTCGCGATGGCATCGTGAACCTCAGAAGTACGATAATGTCACAGGGCGAAAGTGAAGTCAACAACATTTACAGGCTGGCTGAGCTGACTCAAAACCTGCAGGTAATTGATACAATGAGCCTCCACACTAAATACTGTCACAAAATGTTACATGGGGTCCATTTCAGCTCATAGCTGCAAATTCATTCTGTGATCTCTACAACAGATTGTGAAGAATCAGTCCTGGGAGAAGAGGAGGGAAGAGTCAGAGAAGATAAAAAACAAAACAAAGGTTTCTACCAGAATTTCTTTAGTCATAAGTGTAATGCGGCGCGATCATTAACACATCGCATTGTATATGTTCTCAGTACAACAAGATGAGTTCCATGTTTTGCACTGATTTGGCAGAGATGCAAGTCCTCAAACAGCAATCAGCAGTTTTTTGGAGATCATCACACTGACCACAGAGAAAATACAGAAACAATGAAATATCTGCAAGATCAGCTCAGGCGAGAGATGGAAGAGCATATTAGAGGTAATGTGCTGTAATTCAAAACTGTCATTTTGTGCACAAGGCCAACCGTAACCAGTGTATTCTCATATTTACAGAAGGTAAAGGGAATGTAGAAAAAGTCCAGGAGAGAGTAGCGAGAATCCAGCAGCTGAAGGAGGCTCTCAGAGAGGAGACGCTGAAGAGTGGAGCCGTGACAGGGAGAGCTCAGCTCTGTCAGCAAGTAACGCACATCGTCAGACATTTTAAACTCTCTGTGTTACTACAGATTATTAGAAAGTATTCAGACTCCTTCTTTTTTTTTTGCATACTTTCTGTTGCAGATTTAATTTGAAATGGATAAACTTGCTAGGCACACATATTGAAAAGCTGAATGCTGATAAGCAGTCAGACTATTGATTTGGTGCTTGATAGACACCCATTTAAGCAAAAGTTGCAACTTTCCCTGTATTTGGTTGCAAGCACGGCCTCCCTGACCCTGCCACTGAGGAGCATCCGCATACAATGATGCTGCCAACACCATGCTTTGACACAGAGCTGATACTAGTCATTTAATGAGCACTGCCTAGTGTTAGAGCAAAATTTTTGTCTCCTCAGACCAGAGACTCTTTTCCTTTCTGCTCTCAGAATCTTTTAAACGCAGCTTGGCAAGCTTCAAGCGGGCTGTTATTACCCTTTTACTCATGAGTGACTTCAATCTAGCCATTCTGCCATGAAGACCTGATGATGGAGTGCTGCTGTGATGGCTTTCCTTCTGGCAGGTTCTCCCATCTCTGCAGAGAACTTAAGTGACCTTTGGGTTCCTCGTCACCTGTCTGGCTGAGACCCTTCTTGCTCACTTTCTCAGTTTGTCCAGACATCAAACTCAAAAAAAAAAAAAAAAAGAGTCCCGGTCATGCCACGCTTCCATTTCAGAATTATTGAGGTTGCTGCTCCTGGGAACACTCAAAGCTTTAGAAATGCTTTTATGCCCTTGCACTGATTGACGCCTTGCCACAATTTAATAGGTCTACAGTGGGTTTTTTTTTCTCTATTTCTGACATGCAGTGTGAATTGTAGGACAGCACAAAAAAGTGTAAAAAAAATGAAGGGGTCTGAGTATATCCTGAAAGCTATTTGATTGGATTATACGCTCACAAGGCTGAGTCAATAGTCTTTTCTAAATCTAAATAAGATTTATGTAAGAGTGGACAACCTACACTAAGACGTTTGTTTTGCCAATTTAATGATTAGTCTCAGTTGGAATACAACAAAGCACAGGAGCAGAGGAGGCAACTTAAGGAGGATCATGGGAGATTAATTCAGGAGGAGGTGGAGAAGATGGAGAGAGACTTGGCACAGGAACAGCTACCGGTGAGATAATGAGATACACTGTTGTTTAACATTATTCTGTTTGCGATCTATCTTAGCTGAGGGTGCTGAGTCAGTTTTAATTAATTCAAGGCTGGATTTATGGCGGGCAGTGAAAACCACTGCATTTGCAACTTAATTCTGTTATTTCCTTGCATTTTTCACGGTTTCATCCATTCCTCTGTTAGACAGAAGGTCCCCAGAGAGAGCTGCTGTTGCTGACCAGAGAGAGGCAGGTCCTGGTGCTGCGGATGGAGGCTCTACGTGCTGAGGCCCAGCAGGCTGAAAGAGACCTACAGGATCAATATCACAGACACCAAGCAGAGCTGCACTGTCTGAGGGAGGAGAGCCTGCAGGTGGGTAGTCCGTCCCAGCAATAGATGCCACAGTGATTGAGCCTACATGCAGAAAATAATGAGTTACCCTGGTGTTCGACACATCTGCTGTTCTGCAACATTTTGGTCTCTAGTATGGTGATATTCTAAAATTATTGTCATTTTTCACATCCCTAATCAGGAAGCTGTAATGCAGTTACCAGTGGAGGCAGCAGCTATGCATTTTCCAATTTTGGAAATAATAAATTACGACAAAGTCTAACCCAATACCTACACTTCTGTATACCACAGAAGAGTGCATGACCCTGTGGACTCAGCACGAACACAGTCAGATGTTTACATGTTTCCTCGTGTCCAGTTTTAACACATTTGCATTAGCTCTAGGGCTCTCACAACACAAGATTTTCACCACATTATTATCCATGTCAAAGGAATTCAGGATAACAATATCATCGCAATATCTACAGAGAATTTTTTTTAAAAATGCTACTGGTCAAATGAATTACACTCAAAATGCAAATGTAGTATATTAACATGATTTCAATATTTAATTTTTTAAATATCAGGGTTGTTATCAATCACAACACTTCTAATCTGTTATAAAATGTGATTCTAAATATGTATATACAGATGCCCATAAAGTTTTCATGGACTTATTTTATTTTTAAGTCTACCATTAAGCTCTCTAACATACTGAATCAATTAAACGTGTATGACGAACTGTCCCATACAGCATGGATAATGTTGAGCAAATGCGTTTTCTTCTTGCCTGTCTCAATATACTGACTATACCATTTATAGTAGTTTGCATTTTACACAACACTTCGGAGTCACCGCAGTCGGAGATTAAGAATCACACTTTAAATTTGATGAACGTTTTAGAAGCAGTACACAATAAAAAACAAAATAGATCAACAGGCAGGATTTTGTCGAGCAACTCTTCATACTAGAGACACTGGTTCTACAGAAGACCACCTAAAAACATACAATGCAAAATTAAACAGGCCATTTTAATATGTAACCCTCAATTCATTTAAAACTAGCTGGTCAATAAAATGTTGCATGTTTGAGTTTGGCCTTTTGCATTTCTGATCCGTTGTACCGCTGTCTAGGTGTTCAGAGTGTTTCGTCAGGTCAGTGAGGAGCAGAGGAAGATTTCAGAGGGCAGATACAGAAGTGTGCTGCTGGAAGCCGTGCAGGATGCCATCTACCTGTCTGCCCAGAACCAGCAGCTTCAAGCCGACAACAAACAACTCTGTAAAGGTCAGTGTATAACCTCTACCAGATATGTGGTTATATTACAGATCAAACCTAAACTCTTTTTAAAATTCTTCTTTTACAGCACTGGGAGAGTTAAAGGACACTTTAGCTGTGCGAGGAGACGCCATGGCTGACATGATATCCCACCAGCAATGAATATATGATCACACTACTTACTGTAAATCGAGAGAAATAACTGTTGAATAAGTACAATGTTTTGCACAATTTATTGCTGTCACACTGTACAACATTATATTTGACATTGTGCTTGGCAAAGAATGTGGTATGAAAGCAAACAAAAAAAAAATAGCAGCACTCTTCAGAAATGTTTAACTCAAGATATAATATTCATCAGAATATGAATTACCTGTAACAGTGTAACAATAATAAACTTTTGTGTATGATTCAAATTGTCATATTCAGCATTGGCCAACATGCCTGTTAACACTTGATATGGTTACAAATCAAATACATGGGTTGGATTCTGAATGAAAAACTCCAGTTTCAAGGCTCAGAAGGCAGATGGATGGAAGGCAGAAAACAAACCACATCTGAAAGTTAATCTCAAAGTCTAAAGAAAGAAAATTTTAGGTAGACTGTATGGGGAACTCTTTTAGGGTTTAATTGCCCGTGTGGTTCCTTTGATGAAGACTCTCTTATTTGTAATAAAGGTAAGCTGCCAGTCCAATCATAGTAACGGGTAGTGGGAAAAAGGGAGTGAGCTGCAGACCTAAGATGGCCCAAGACAACAAAGCATTAACCAGCATGGAGCAGGAAATGACAAAGAGTCTGGTGATCCCACTGCCGTGCTTGAGAACCACAGACATAAGGAGTCCATTAGCTGCTTGTCCTGCTATGATGACCCAAACCACCCCTGAGTAACCCTCCAGAAAGCTCTTGTCACTTGCTACAGTAGTGAAGGAGGACAGCCCATTAATGGCCACACCAAACATGTAGAGGTAGAGATTCTGCAGGCTGAGGGGCAGCTTCTGGCTCTTCAGCATCCTCTCTGTGTAAACTGCTGCCAGCCCTGAAACACAGCAGTAAACCAGCACGAGGAAAAGCCCCCAAGCTGTGATGTGAAGCCTGGGACCTTCCTCAGCATCTGTCCCCATAGGGTCTTCTAGATCCAGGCTGCTGTAGCTGTGGAACGCCCCTGCGAACATGAGCAGCCCCAGAGCTAACCACTGAGCAGGACGGAGCCTCTTGCCCAGGCAGATGGAGTACAGCAGGGCAGTGGAGGCGATTTTAAGATTAGAGAGTACTTGGTATGAGCTTGGGTCCATGTAGGCCTGCATGAGAACAACCAGGTTGTTGTTGAGGGCGTAAAGTATGGCAGGGACGGCGTAGGGGGCAACAAGGGCTAGACGTGGAGGGGCATATAAGGCTGATTTACCCCCAGTTAGAAGAAGAGTCGCCAGAGAGATGAGGAGTTTAGCCAACTCAATCATTACAACACAAGAGGACGGGTTGAAAGGGACTTGACCATCTACCTTGGTGATTGTGATGAGTGGAGCATGAGAGCCATAGATGAGGACCATCAGGCCCAAGAGGACGCCCCACTGAATCCTTTTCACCCACTGTCTCTTTATCCTTGCCGGGGAACTGGGCCCCACATTCTGAATCACAATCATCTCCAATGACACACAATGAACACTTTTAATCTCTAAGAACTCTGAATACTCACTACAGTGCAAACCCCATCACTTTAGTCGATTTTAAAATGAACAGCTATCAGTCTCAACTATTTAAATACTAATTACAAAATACTTAGATAAACCATTCTCTGTATAACTGTCTCTGTATATATATATATGAGTGGTTGAACAATAAAAGGTGTAAGAAATATATGCAGGAAATGCTGCCTATTCTACACATGACCGATTCAAAGTCCAATGGGTTTAAATAACTGCTCCAGGCAGAGAAAATAAGAAAGGTTATGCAACCTAAAAAACCTTAAAACCTTGTAGGCACAAAGTCTTACATGTTGTGTTTAACATTGGACAGATGCAAGTGGAAATGAAACAGAAGTATTCAACTGAAGCTGAAACAAAAGCATAAGTAAAAAAGCAAGTCTTTGAGTCCCCAGTAAAATTCCAGTTAAATGATTATTTCCATGATCCAGTCTAGACAGAAATGTTGAATTCTGACCTGTCATGAGCCAGAAGCTGCAAGAGTATTTCTTCTTCTTGTGCTTGTTGTGCCACTGGCAGGACTGGCAGTCAGCCCAAATTACTTTGGTCCTTTTTTCAAGTTGTTCATATACTCTTTAACAGTCCTCTCAATGTTGGGCACTTGATAGTTCTGTGCTGCGTAAATGCCGGTGACTGTTCCCAGCAGAACTCCCAGGATGGCAGAGGAGCGAAGCTTGGCCACCACATAGCCGGCCAAAAAGCCCTTCAGAAACGGAGATCCCAACACAGAGCCTCCCTGCCAGGGCAAGAAATAAATAAGCAAATAACAGAAGGAAGTCTGGCACAGTCCCAACACTGAAAGGTAAAGGGTCACATTAATCACATTGTCAGTAGGCTATCATACTGCTAGCTTACCTGAGGAATTCCTGCGGACACTTCGTTCTCTACTCGCCTCTGGATCTCTTCCAACTGATTTTTGAGCTGCGTTAGATCTTTCAATTGTTTCAGGGGATCCTAAAATAAAAAACATTTGAGCAAATCTGAATTGGAAAAACAGTACAATAATTTCAAATGACACTGTCGTTGCTACTGTAGGATATCTAACATTGTTGTACAACATAGCATAAACTTACTGACAGCATTCCCCATAAAGAGCCTCTTTGGTTACAAAACCGAACAGCTAAACATTTCTCTGGAAGTTTTCTGTTTAGCTGCTAGCAGCACAACTCAGCCGGTTTAAGGGACGATCAATTTCATTTAGAAGTCACACACGCTCCGGTAATTTAATTTACCACACAGCTAACCGCTACTAAGACCAACCGTGTTTTCGTCCTCTTTCTAGCAGTTGCTGTCATCTGACGAAACACGTGAAATTAATACATTTAAAGCCAGACTAAGGTAACTCACTAACCTTGTCATCCGCCATTTTTGCTCAGTGTGTTGATCAGCGTTCGGCTCGTAAGCCTGAGCTGCTTCTGCAGCTCGATTAGACTGGCCTGGGAATACTCGAGGTTAAGAGACACTGCAGTGTTATTATGATGTGGATTTATTTGAGTAATTTAACAATTCAGGAATAGAAATGATCTAAAAATCCCAAAAATTACATAAAATACAACTGTACAGTACAGTATATTAATTATGGAGATGAATCTGAATGTTTTAAAACTAAGTTAGGACCCTACAAATTACACATGAAATGTTTTAAAAAGCACCCTCCCCCTTCAATCTTGATGATCTCTTTTATTAATTTGTTATTATTATTATTTTCTCTCTCAGTCTGTCTTTTGTAAACAAAAATATAAATCCTTTAATTCTAAAGGTTCGCAATATTATAATTTTTTTCATTTATTTCAATAAGTTTTAAATATAGAATCACAAACAAAAGTCCAGTATTTCTGTATGTGGATCTAAAGACCATTGCATTAATAATAATAAAAAAGCTGTACACTACATGTTGTTTAGGATTTTTAAAATTATATTTTGCTGCTTACTTTTTTTGCTGTTCATATTATTTTTATATTTTATTCCCTCTTAATACATTCATGATTTTAGCAGTACTACCTTAACCTACCTGAACATAGCAGGTAATTGTTTGATTGCACATAATTTTATTCAATAAAGAGTCAAATAACGTTAAGCATAATTCAGTTTGTATTTAAAGGCACATTAATCGACCACACTTGTCATATTATACCCTTATAAAGTACTTTTAGCGACACGTGTTTTAAAACTGCGCCCTCTCGTGGCCACAAACTGAACTCTGAAGGTCTACGGGACGCACCATGGATGGACGCACACGCCATTTTCACGTGTCAAAAACGTCTTCCGTGATTGGTCCGCGCTTGTCTATTCCGGTATGTGATTGGTCGATGACCATGGCAACAAACCGCCATGTTTTTTTTTTTATACAAGACGAAAAGAAATGGAGCTACTTTACAGCTTTACAGCTTTTACGAATCGTCAGTTCTTGATTTAATATGAAGCAGGGGCGAATTACAGCGTTACTCACCGTCGGCGCACTGCCTGACTTATCCTGCGACCTCTGAAGGCTGTTCAAAGCACTTTATAGAGCCTCGGGCCATCGTAGGTAAGGCTTCAATAAGAAGGCATTTCATTGGATAGCGGAGTGGCTGTGCAGGCAGTATGAACACACGCCATTAAACCTACTGTTAAAGCAGGGAAGGACCAGTGTTTTTAACATGTTAGCGCTTTGGCTTTAGTCACTCAGTGGGCGAAATGCATGTTGAGTTGGCATTATGTTGTTCTGCAGTGATGCAATGCATTAAAGCAACAACCCTCAGACAAACTATTTTACTTTTCGTAGCTTTTCTTAGTCATAGCTTTATTATTATCTCTATTTGCCTCTCATCAGCTCGAACAGAGATAAACCCTCTGAGCTATATTAAATTTCTAGTGCTTAAATTGTAGCACAACAGCTCCAATACAAGCCCTGCACTTACAAACATCCATCGTTTGCAGATTACGGTGTAATTATGCAATCTAGTTTATGTTCTGTTCATTTTGACGCTATGTTTGCTTTTTCACTTTTTTGGGAGCTTATTAGAAAGGGGGGGGGGGGGGGGGGTACTCTGACAATGCACCCCTGCATACATTTTTACTTCTTCAAACATAAACGGTGTAATCTCGTCCTATTTTTCAGCTTTGCCCTGGATCTTTGGAGAACATGGAGAAAGCAGAGGTGTTCGAGGTTGTAAAAGTGACAGAAGAGGTGGAGAGCACCTACAACCAAATGGAGGTGACTACTCCAAAAAAGAGGAAGGGCAGAACCCAAGAAGACAGTGTTGAGAAACCTAAGAAGCCCAGGTGATGTGCATAACCTAAAGGGCTTTCAATTCCTCCTTAAACATTACCTGAGCCTCCAAAAATATAAACTGTCCCTCCGTTTGTTATGTGCTCATTGCATACGTGGAATCTGTTGTCTGTTTTAGGTCTGCCTACCTGCTTTACTACTTTGATGTTCACCAGATTATGCAACTTGGAATCCCTAATATGCCACAGTCAGAGATCAACAAACGCATCAGTGAGAGCTGGAAAAGGCTGAGCGTAGCTGAGAAAAGCTACTATCTGGAGAAAGCCAAGCTGGAGAAGGAGGGCATAGATACAGTAAGCTACATTGTCAGGTTTTCTAAGCAAACCAGTGTATTTGATCAGATGTGGACCACTTTATTTTATTCCATTAATCAAAATGACCCTCCCTTGTGTATTGTAACTATTTAAAATGTGAGTCAGAAACTAGCACATTTTAAAGAAAATTTGAAGGTTTGTATATCAACCTGTTGCAAGTCATTCCACATTTAAATGCTCCTTTAAACTGTTGTAATCCATATTAGAATGCCAATATGGCTGCTTTTATTTTCACAGTCAAATATTATTTACTGATATCAGTAAAAAAAAAAAATGTAATTGATGCCAAAACAGACTAATTTGTGGCAGACACAGCTGGCATTTAAGATTTTAGGATCATCAATCACAGAGTATGAAATAATCATTTCGAAAAAAAATCCAAAATTTGGAGAAGGTTAAAGATATAAAAAGATCCATACTTTCCCTGAAACCCTTTCTCCTTGTAAATAACTTTTAGTAACTGCAGGGATACTCATTTACATTCTGACAAAATTATTGCACCAGCAGAACCAACAGCAGTAAATGAATTATGATGCCAAGCAGTCAGCCAGAGCCAGTCTTTGTAAAATGTCTGTCATGATAGAGTGCTTGACTTGGTGTCGGCTGTTGAGTCTGTCCTCATGAGTATGCACTGCTGAGCACTTATGTAGTTAACTAAATTTATTTTTATTGTAATAAATCCCTTTGGCTCTGTAATGACAGATAAAGTCAGAATGAATTGACCCATTAGCTTCAGTTATCACAGCAGAAGCAAAGCAGCCTTTTTCAGCTTTATCTCAGCAGTAGCCTGTTTCTCTGGAGTTTAATATAATGTCAGAATGATTCTATGGAAAGCAATCAATAATTTTCTCCATTGTTCTTTTCTCTCAGTCTTCTCTCAGCCCCTCAAAAGACCTCCCAGGCTTCCGCAAAATCCTACCCAGAGCCAGCTACTTTCTCTTGTCCAAAGGTTGCTCCTCAAATAACCAGCCAGGAGGCTCTCAGTCAGAGGTGAGCGCCGAGTCTCTGGACAGTCCAGTTGAAGGAGGCTCAGTTTCCCTTATCCAGGAGCCCCAGTTCGCCCCTCTTGGGTTGGCCGGAGAGGTGGAGCTTTCTGACCACCCTGTTTCTGTTGAAGACATCGCAGAAGAAACAGCAACGGTGTCTCACTCCATGGCCCTCCAAGGAATCCCGCCCTCCTCTTCCTCCTCCATCACATCCAAGGCCACAGCCTCCTCAGACACCTACGTCTCACAGGTCTCTGCCGACTTTACAGCAAACGGGGTCCCACTGAAAGGAAATAAGACAAGAGTTGCTGGCAGTGGTGGAGCGATGGTGCAGCAGACGCAGGGAGAGGCTACACAGGTGGTTGCCATCATACCCACCCAGGTGAAACTTAAATGTGCTTCTCTATCTATCAGTCAGCAGAATGGTGTTCAGTCACTCTGTTTAATAACAAAGCAGTGTTTTAGTTTTTTTTTTTTTTTTTTGTCCAGAACTTGCTGGAGCCCAAGTCTTTGGCAGGTGTCAGCTCTGTGGGCCCAGTGATGATGCTCTCTGTGGGAGCCAGCTTAGAGCAAAGTCCCAAACCTTCATACAAAATGGTGAGCAGCCGCATTATTAATCCAACCTAAAATTGGTATAACGGAAAGTGCCAAGCTTTGAGGCTGTGCACAATAAATACAGCCAAGAATTATATTATCTAGATTTGAGGAATTTGATTTGTGCAACTTAAAGGCATGAACTTGCATGTTTTCCTCTGTTCTGCAGTCTGTGAAGACGTACACCAGGAGAGGTCGAGGGAGGTGTCTGAATCCTGGCTGTTCATTTATGTATGTCACGCGCCACAAACCACCAACCTGCCCAGAGTGTGGGAGCCACTTGGGCGGAAAATGGATACCTGCAGTAAGTTTTAAGTAATCCTATGAATGTTATAAGCGTCCAGTTTTACTTGCACTTCATTTCAATGACCTTTGTCTGCATTTATATAACAGGCAAAAAGGACACAAGAGAAAGAAGCTGCATCCAAGCAATTGCCACCAACTGCTGAAACAAAGACGAGTAAAAGCTGTAAAGCCACAGCACCACCTGCTCAGGAAGGTAGTGCTGATATCAGTAAAACAAACACCACGGGGAGCAGCAAAGAAGGGCGAGTTCAACGGGGCTCCAAAAAGCAGGGTGCAGCTTCTGCTGGAACGCCACCAGAGGGCAGCAACACCACGCCGCAGGCTCAGACAAAGTGAGCTTCAGTGTGTTTGTTTGTGACTGGTATACAGAGTTGAGTCCACATGGCTGCGTAATTCAATATTAAAGGTGTTTACTTTGCTAAATTGACATCAGAAGCAAGTTGGCCATGTGGAATGTGATGATTGGATGATTGGACCATGTGTGACTTGTTTGCAGATGAGAGCACGAATGCTTCAGAAGTAGAAGGAACACATTATATATGTGCTAAAAGGTTCACTAAATTTTAGTTTATTTGAAGAATTACAGTGGCTGGTAGACCATGAATCTGAAAATGGATGGAAGAGGATTATATTGGCGCCTTTGTGTGTTGTCATAGCAGCTGAAAACTGAATTTAAAATTTAGTTTTGACACTAGCTTGTATGTGACCCAGCACACTTTCCCTCTGTCATTAAGCAGACAAGTGAAAGACAATCCTAAAAGTGCCACAATCCACAGTCAGGACAGGAGCACTGCTGCTGTGCAGAAGAGGCCTGTGAGACCCATCCTTCCTGCCTGCTATAACACAGGTGAAATAAAGCATATATTGCACAGATGATTTTATGTTATTAGTGTTAAAGGAAGCTATGACTACATGGGTTTGCAAATTTATTTGTGTTTGTATTTTAGGCCGGGCTTTGTTTCAGATCATAACAGTCCCACCTGACAATGGAAAATTTCAAGGTGCGAACAACAATAAGTCATCCATAGGTACTGTGCATTGAATTTTATTTCTGATTACACTGTGTTGAATGTCATTTTTCACTTTGTGGTTTGCATGTAGTTTTAGCGCACACTTTGTGTTTTTTACTGGTACACACAGACTACCTTTGTCATTCCAAGAGGAAGTGATATGTCTACATGTGACTGTACTTTCTGAGGTTTTTGCTCTCAACTGATGTGGTTGTTTTCTAACCACAGTGTCTCGAGAGAGTTTCTCAGGTCTTAAACCCAGCACTTTGAAGCAGCTCGGTCAGACGGTCCCAACAACCACAGCCACACAGGTTAACACACACATATAGACACTTAAAACACCCACACAATTTAAAAAAGAAAAAAAAAAAGGTGAGATTGCAGATTGAACCCACTTTCCTCCCCTCTCTGCACATCTTTCCATAGGATTCTCCTGTCCCGGCAGACAGAAGCCAGTCTGTGTCTTCACCGACTGATAAGAGAATGAATATCTTGTCAGTTGTGCCTTTCAAACAGCACACAGTTTCCAGCTTTGTTAGTATTTTCTCTTCAATTTACTTCACACTCAATTTTCATTAGCTTTTGAAAAATATTGCACGCACCGTTTAAAGTATAATTTTATCTCTGAATGTCCCTTGTTTCTTCATATGTGGGTAAATAAAGGTTTTTTTCTCTCATTCCCTTAGGACTTGGGACTTTCCACGGCACGAGGCAGAGGTCGGTGTAAGAACCCATCTTGTGATTATATGTATAAGAACAGACACAAACCTGCCATGTGCCCTAAATGTGGATATGAACTGACCCAGAAGAATGCCAAGGCAGCAAAGGTAAGAGACCCCTTACTTCCTTCAAGTGTAGACGCTGTAGGATTAGTTTCCAGCTCTATGTCTGACCTTTTAATCTCTTTTATGAACCTCGGCACAACCTTGGATCCCCGAGCAGTTTCTTTTTAGCTTAAATGTATACGTAACCCTAGAACACTAACGTCGGGTGATTTTCACCCGCACGATTTTTGTCAGGTGATTTTCATTGTGTTGCTGCTGTCTGAGGTGAATGGGTCCTTGGGTAGCTTCAGGCTGCTCATTGATGTCATTAATGTTATGTTTGTTTCCCACCTCCCATCTATGGTTTTTTCAAGAGGCATGCGTTCGGGTGATTTTCACCCGATGTTAGTGATAGAGGGTAACATATTTCATGGGTGGCATTCACCCAATGTTAGTGTTTGCGTGTTGAAATCAGGCCCTCTTTGCACTTTTCAAGGGAAACAACATTCAGGCCGGCCACATTCTCTGCCCCATTTCATCCACAGCTGTGATCCTGTCACAGGCTTAGTTACTCTGTCATGGCGACACGCAGCAGTGTGTGACACGGGTGCTGACGTGGCTGTTCTTAATGTGTTTTTAGTGTTTTTCTATCACTTATTGTAACTGATTTTTTTTTAAGTGTTCGTGGGGGATAATGGCGGCAGGGACTCACCCAAGTTTGGTGGAAATCCTCTTGCTTTCTGCACTTTTATGCCACTTTTTACATGGAGTTTGGGTGTGTGGGAAACCCATCCAGTACAGCCGTGACTTTTTGCTCCTGCTCCGTGACTCCGGGATCGGCACCGTGGATTCCTCGGCAGCTGTCCCCACGGAGATCTATCAGCTGAACCCACCCATGGGGAACCGGACCCGGGCCTCTGGGCAGAGGTGTACGAGGAAAAGAGGGAGACGGCGCCAGAGGCTGAAGCGGCAGGACCACCGTCGGATATCTCTTCCAACTGTCATCCTGGCGAATGTTCAGTCGCTCCGGAATAAAGTGGACGAGCTTCAGGGCAACGTCAAATACCTGGCTGAGTACAGGGATGCCTGTCTTTTGGCCCTGACAGAGACGTGGCTTAAAGAGCAGGACCCTCAGTCAGATCTGGAGATTGACGGTTTTGGAGCTCCATATCGCCTTGACAGAGACTCCGCAGTGACCGGCAAGTCACTCGGCGGGGGTGTGTGTCTCTATGTCAATGAAAACTGGTGTAGGACGGTGATTGTCAGGGAGACACTGTGCACACAAGA